GGAGTGATGGAATATCTTAAACTCAAGCAATCATCAGATCCAGTCTTCTTTGATTTAAAGCGACTGTAACATGGTCACAACGCATGATAGTCTAGTCCAGTGATGGCCACGTGGTGCTTGGACATATATGAAGCGGTTCTGTGACACTACACCGAATGTCACTACCCCGAACGCCGTTACCCCGAACGGTACACTACCCCGAACGCCGTTACCCCGAATAGTACACAACCCCGAATGCCCATTACCCCCGAATCCATTTCCAAAAGCTGTAAGCTGTATTTTTGTTTATTATAGTCACTCCTGGAATCTTCCTTCGCATATATAAAAAGAAGAGAAAAACTTCTTAATGGGTCAAGGGGTTTTAGGAGACCTTAATGGATCAAAGGGTTTTCCCTTGTTTGAAAATATAAGAAAAGGAAATAATTAATTCTTTGGATATACGATAAAGAAGGGAATATTTCCTTCTTTGCATACACACTTAGAAAAACCTAATTTTACACGTGACGGAATCCACCTTTGACACAAAGGATAAGACGTAAACAAACATGTCTTGTAAAATTAAGTGCTCTGAGACTGAATAGTTTGTTACTCGAAGAAAAGTACGTTTGATTGAGCTGAATTTCACGTCTATTATGACTCAATTTTATGTCAAAATTGACGCTCGTATATGTCAGTCTCAGAGCACCTAAATTTACATGATTTTTTCTAAGTGTGTATGTATAAAAGAGAACATCATTAATTCGTTAAATATATGATAAAGAAGGGAATATTCCCTTCTTTGGAAATATAACAAAAGGAAATAATAAATTATTTGGATATACGATAAAGAAGGAAATATTCCCTTCTTTGAATATATAACAATATAAAATGACAAAAAAAGTGATAAATTACTAATTTCATCATCTTTTCTGGGGAATGGTTTTCTGGGGAATGTTATAGAATCAGTGTAACTGGTATTATTAGCAGTAAAAACAAGCAGATTTTTTTCCAAAGGCATTATAATCCTTCACACAGCGATCTGGGTGTATGAGATTCACATGTTCTGCATTGAAGTTTCCCTCTTTAGTGACACTTCAACAAATGGATTGAAAATATAATAATATTCCTTCATAATCGAATATTCTAAGATGAGAATATTCCCATTTTCCTTCTGAAAGAACTGCTCATATTCAAAAGAAGGAGAAATATCCAATAAAGATTTCTTTTCCCTTAATTTCTTCATGAGCTGTTCTTTCGTATTAAATTGAACCATAGTTCATGAAAAGAAGAAAAAATATCCATTTATTTTCTAAAATTACTTATTATTATTTTTAATCATGTTCTGGTCCAATTAAGTTTGAAAGAATAGCTCATGATCAAAAGAAGGAAAAAATTCCAATTACTGTTTATTAAATTACTTTTTCTCCTTCTACAATTACATTCCAGTGTTTAAAAGTATGAAAACCTCAAAACTCCAAAGAACTGCTCATGTCTAAAAAAAAAGAAGAATTTCTCAACGGTGTTCCAAGAAACAAATCAAATAATGATGAATAATAAATGAACTGAAAACAAGCATACTGGTTTTGGATTATTATTCTATATATAAAAATGAAAATGCTTTAAACGGCTCAATACATTAATATAGGGAAAAGAGGGGCATAGTGAGCATCCTGTGCTTTGGGAATGGGTTTCTAGCTACTCGAAGCAAATTAATTGGTAGTTGGGTTAATCTCATATTAAATCTTCCATTTGCATGGTTTGAAATTTAAGGTGGGTTGCAATCTGCTCACTATGCTCAATATATAGTAAGAAAATTGCCAAGGTTGAAAAATTCCTAACTTTTTTTTTTTGTGGATATGGCATTCGGGGAAATGTAGCACAATCCTTATCCTTTTAATCGCATGTTGTTCTTCCGTTTGTCTTAATTTCGGGGTTATGGTCATTCGGGGTAGTAGGGTATTCGGGGTAATGGCCATTCGGGGTAGTAGGACATTCGGGGTAGTAGCTTTCGGGGTAACGGCGTTCGGGGTAGTGACATTCGGGGTAGTGACATTCGGGGTAGTGTCACAGAATCATATGAAGCAACTACTGCAACTTGAATTTCTTTTTGCATTCGAATTTATGGCCAAAATGTTTGGGAAATACGCAAAATTCAACTTAAAATATGACCATCGAACAAAGATACAGCTATTTTAAAAATGGGCCTGAGTACCACTGGACTCTAATCACATAGGAGTATCGAGCGAAAATCCAAAACTTGGTAACTTAAAAAAAATAACTCAAAAACGAAAAAAAAGGCTGATGTGTTGCGTAAAAAAGCCTAAATTTTCAATGAAAAATATAAGAACATACTACGCCCTCTGTCTACAAACCATGAAAACCATAAAAACAAATACAATCAATGTTGCTCAATACAAAATCCTCTTTTTTTAATATAATTATATTTTTTCTAAAAAGTATTTTTAATTACCTTTCTTTTGATATTTTGATCTTTGAAATCAAGTTTAAAAGTTTGATTTTTTGGACCACCTTAACATGACAAATAATGACAAAATAAAAAAAAATACGGGTCTAATATTTTGCGATAAGGAACAAAACTACCTATTTTTACGAAATTCTGAGAATCACTACATCGTTTTGCTATGAAATGGCTGATAAATAAGGGATCTTAAAACAAGTGTTGAACAAAGGGGTATTCAACTCTACACACCTCAATCTGTACCGAGAACTTTATCTGTGCCGAAAGCTGAGGCAAGCATTGGACCGAGTGTGCCGAAGTTTTACAATCAAGCTGTCGATCTCAGTATCCCATGAGTTTGGCAACCCTGCAGTTATGACTTTGACAAGCTCTTATGGATGGTTAAACGAGTTATATCTGTGTATATTGCATAGTATATACGAGGGTAATCACTATGCCTGTCCTGTTAAAAAGTAAAACGTGCATCAAATAACACGAATATGAGTTTTTCTTTGTACAACATTCATTCCTCTTGCTTTAACGATGCCAAACGAGTGATAAGATTGGTAAACGCGAGATAGTCGGCCACTGCTGGAACTGTTAGCCAGCATACGCTGACCGTTGCCAACCATTAAGTTCTACTCCTCCACGAGAAGGAGAAGGGTGAGTGATGGCAGAAGCTGTCCATCCAGGACAAGAAATTTCTTTGCCGTGTCTCATTCTGGTAGACGTTCGCCGAAACCTGTACTTATGACCCACCGGGCAAGTGGAGAATGTACCTCTACATTATCGTCATGGTACTCGGACAATGCTATAAAATAGAAATCAAGAAGGATTCGACCTAAAATTCCCACTGGCGATAGTAGAAGCAGCAGTAGACCTTCAGTTGCTTCCTAGTGTTAGCCTTATCTTTTGAGCACTGAATTCATCTAAATTTACCAAACATGTTTTGGTGGGAGAGTCAATCGACTGCGTCCATGGTTTTGAACTTTTGAACACCCTAATAAATAAACAGGAGACCCAGGAAATCACTGAGGTTGTTCATTAACAACACAAACATAAATAGTGCTGCTCTTCTTCTTTCTCATGGCTCTTAACTTTTTACTTTTAATTCGTTTATCCTCATCGTCCATCAAATAATTTCCAGCAGCATGCAAATGCTGGTCCAGGATCTTGATACCGGTTGCCATCGTTTGATTAGTACCTTCTCTTTGTATTTGCTTGTTGTTCCTTCATAACTTCCATACTTACTTAGTTTTGCCGGAATTGCATACTTATCCCCTGCTGGCGGTTTCGATCGCGTTTATAAATATTGCGATTCAGATTGGCTCCGTAACCTCCGGTGTTGTTACCTTCACAATTCTGTTAGCAGCATCCTTCTTAATGTAGCTAATACAAGATCTACTGATGCCACCAGCCTCCACAGTCAATAGAATCTCCGAGATCGTTCAGTCCATAGAATGGAGTGGTTCTGCGGGAGAAACTACTGCGGTTACAGTTGCATCTGCAGAATAGCGGGATCGTTCTGTACCGGGTTGTTGTTGACACCGTACATCAATGCTGCAATTGGAACTGGATTCTGTATCCTATTGCCATCTGGGGTTAATACGTAAGCAGGCCTATTCTGACCCAAAACATGAATCCTTCCGGTTGTGCAATCTGTTATTATGATTGAGGATACTCTCGCTGGAAAATAAAAATAAAAATTATCTGAAAAAAAACTTCCCCTTTACTTTGAAGTAAACAAACGTTTACTACCTTCGCAAAGCTTGTCAAAATGTCAACTCCAAGCAGTAATGCCATGTTATATTATATTCTATCTCATACTTATCAACGAGTGCCCTAACGTGCCGATCAGTGTACTACGATGTGTTTCGGCACAGTGTGCAGAGTTGATTGCCCCTTGTGTTGAACAAATGTTGAGTGTTTGGTGGTAAGTACTAATTAAGTACTCAAAAGCTTTCATATAACAATTGACGAAAATTGTACTTACCAAGCTAACCAGAGAAGGTAGTAATCCATCACAATTAGTCATCTTAAGACCATCTTTTCGCATTCTGAAACAAGAAAAAGGAAACATTATGGAAGCTACTATTCTTTCTATTTAGGTTTATCACAATTGTTGGCAAAATACTCAAATTGCGAGACTAAGCACAACATGCAAAAATCAAGCTGAGAGTTGACTCGACACAAAAAAGATTCCGTTGCACATCGTTTTCTTAGAAAGAGAACGAATAGTTTGCTATCTCTTTTTACTCTTCACCGATGGCAGACACGAAGCTACTGCTGCCAGCAGTGACGGTGGTTTCGGGTCGCGTTCGGATGTAAAACAAAAATCATAAAACTGAAACTCCCCACGGTTTGGTGAGAATTGTAGCTGGTGAGTTTTGGTAGCTTTATATTCGTAGGCTACGGTATCACAGCTTGAAATATCATCAGCAGTTGCTTGCTTGTTAATTTCTGTCGACAAAAATCAAGTGTGTTCTTTTCCCAACACTGACACACATACACACACAAAATAATATCTAATTACAACCCCCTCTTTATTTCTTCTCCCTCACAGGAACTGGAATCTCCCTTCAAAATATCCGGCCTGAGCGCCAATCCGTACCTCTACACCACGGTCAAGGTGGTCATTCTGTCCGCGCTGTCCGGTGTTCTCAGTGAAATGCTTGGCTTCAAGCTCAAGCTCCACAAAATTAAAATTAAATAAATCCGTTTCTCGCAACGATAGGAGCCGGGTCGCTGGTATCTCTACATCACAGAATACCTCCACTTCGCGTTTTTTAACCTGGCACCTGTCTTGCCATCCAGAAGACATACTGCAACAGATCTGAAAAGTGAACACGATGCTTGCTTCTCTGCAGCAAACATGTAGATTCATTTTGAACTTTGTACTCTAAGTAGATCACCAGATGTGGGCCCGTGAAATGCGAAGTGGTAAGGCCCCTGCTTGACGTACAGATGGTGGAAAGGTTGTTTGAAGCAGAAAGACAAGGGCTGATGATATCATCAACCACATGGCCGTTACTCAGGCCCCTGATAGGGGCCGATGAGGCCTTTCAAAACATTGGCAGCCGCCACACTCTCACGACACGTACTCTTGAATAATAAAACAAACAAAAAACTAGACTAGATAGATGATGGATAACGTTTTTAGACTTGTACTTCTTCCTACCGGTGTGTAGACTTTATTAGTAGGTTGATAGTGTAGTAGGTTAGTCCAATTGTAGATTTACCGTGTAGAGCTAGAAGCAGGTAAACGGAACCGGATGTAGGCGTATTCTCAAGTTGAGTCCGTAGGTCTTAGAGACAATTTTCTCCCATCTACAAGGTACCTAGGTGCGCGTACAGTTTAATGTTCCGAAACGAGGAGCTACTTTCCCTGTGCGGGAGTTTTCAGAAGCAGTAACTGTCGATAGATTTTAGGTAACTGATAAAGTGGTATTTTTCGATGGACTATTTCTATTTTAGGACGTAACGCGGCATACGAAGATTGTGAAACTGTAATGGAGAAAGTTTATGTGAGATAAAAAAAAAGGTATTAACTGTTCAAATCTACCGGTTATCGTTTGATGAAATCCGAAAGCATTTTTAGGGAAATTTCGGCCTTGTTAAGATTCAGTTTTGTTTTCTATGTAAACCATTTATTTTAGTAATATATCGTTTCATTTTCTGTAGCATTATTTCCTTTTTTTCGAACGTGCAGTTTGTTCCATAATTTTACAATTAGTTCATTTCCATACAATATGTTTATACATTCAATTTTACTAATCTTTACAGACTAACTGTTAGTTAAGTTTTCTTCAAATTATCTTTTTTCTGTTCCCAAAAAAAATAGAACTTGCTCGTAAAAAGCTCCTCCTAACCAAGTACGAGCATCTTTCCACCAAATTCGCTATAGAACGACAATGTTTTGCTTCCAAAACATGCGTGTCTACAGCGGACAAAATGCGTTTCCAATTGTTTCGATAACCGTTTTAAGTAGTGAAACCAACTTTCTTTGTTGCGCGAGCCATCACCCATCCCAAATAATGTTGACTGGTTTTTTTTTCGCTCGGTTTGTGGACGTGTTAATTGATGTGTTATCTAAAACTAGGATATCGTTTACAGACTACGATTTACACGCTAACCTGTCTAGGTCTGGTCAAATTAAATTAGCTTCTGGGATGTTACGTTTCCCGTCGCGTTTTAGCTCTTTCCGGATTTCGGACGATCTGTGACAAAGGGTTTCAAAAATATATAGCTTTCTCCTCTATTCATCCTCGAGCACTTTACGCTCGGGGTGGTATTTCCTTCAAATATGTCTGTGGCTCGTTTTGTTTTCATTCTCCTAAATGTCAGGTACTTTCCATTAATTTAATATAGATTTAGTTAGTATATATTTCCTTTCGGCTACAACAACAGTTAGTGCTGGTATTTGTTTTATTGTTTTGTATTTGTGTGTCGCACAAAGGCTGACTTTAGAAAGCTGAAAATTCAATAAACAAGAGTAATGATTTTTATGGTTATTGAATCAATAAAAAACATGGGGCAGAACACAATTTCGCTCAACACTTTATCGGCGAACGTTAAACAGTACAAAAATGTTGCCATCTAACAAAGATATATGGTTTGATCATCTGCTGCTCACATTGAACGTACTCTGTCTGGTGTTAAGCCACTCTGGGCTATGCGGTAGGGATAGCCAGCCATTTTCTAGAGAACCTCAGAACCTAAAAACAAATAATTAGGCACCGTGAAGGCACCATATTTGACACGGTTCCTAACTTGACGCACTCAATAATATTCGACAATTCTAGAAAGAGTTCGAATCTAGGAACTCAAGGAACGTCTACACAAACCAACGAAATTCTAAAAAGTTACGAGAACTTTGCAGGAGTGAAGAGAACTTCATAGGACTTGTAAGAACTTTGTCAAAAGAATTGCATATGTTTTTTTTAAAGTTCAAGGAAGTTCTTAGAAATTCTTTCAAGTTTGTAGAGGTTAGGGAATTTTTTAATAGCTGAAGATGTATTCAAGACGTTCAGCATACTTTTTATAACTACAAGGTTTGGCTTATGAACTTACTGGAAGTTTTGGGATCATAGTTTCGAAATTTATAGGAAAGGTTCAGGGTCATTTCTGCACTTTGGAGAACGACATAGATGTTTTAAGATCTTGGACGAATTGAGAGAACGTGTAAAAATGATAATTATGAAACTTGGAAGAAGTTGATGGACCTTCAACGAAGTTGAGAAGGTTTTCAAGCAGTAAAGATAATGAAACTTTGTGAAAGTTCGAGGGACAATGGCGCAATCTTCTTGCCCTTCCGTATTTTTTGGTGGCAAATGCCACCGATGCCGCTTGTTGAAAAAGTAGTGTTTTTATCAGTTAAAAACGACGTGACGCCATCGATAACATTTTGATTTATAAACATAAAATCTGTTTATTTTTTCGTTATTTAGCCTGAAACCACTTCTAATATTAGCTTCCGCGAGTGCGTCACCATTAGAAACCGCGTCAATGTAGCTGGCATTGTAGCTACCGAACAATGTGTAATAATTGCTGCCCATAATCTCACCTGTAAGAAGCAGAAAAATCAGTACCTTTTGTTAAATTTACCGATTAGGTACATTTGGCTCAGCCAAGTCATTCGTGAAATCTAGTTCAATCGTCAATCGTACTAGCAGCACTCTACAAAGTTACAATCAGTTAGTAATCCTACCTACACTCATTATAGAACTCTCTGTTTTTTTGTTTTCAATAAAACTGTCGCTTGATCTCGTTTTCACCAAAAAGCAGTGATTGATTAAGGCTCAGGTTGTCTTGTTTGTTTTCAAGATTCAAAATGTGATTCGTTTGCTACAAAAATCTGCTTGCTTTGCCTCCTTCGCTTCTTCTAACTGCGATCGTGCTTCTCCAGGCAGTTTCATCAGTGAACAGGCCTGGTAGCATTCCCGCGGGAGGGCTTGTACAAATGTGACAAAAATTCCAACGGTCACTCCACCGACAAAAAGTAGATTACGACCACAGCAGCAGCAGCACCGTAATGGGCGTGTGCACGCGTGATCGGGGGAGCGATCCAAGTTGGTTTTAAAATTTCGTTAGTTCCTATTACAGTCCATCTGTATATCTGTGTGTGTGTGTTAGTGTCCAGTTCTTACTCGATAAACAACAATGAACAACAAAGAGAATGACACAATTCCGCCAAAGTATCCCAAAAGTACGGATACTTTGCGCGTACAATCCACCCACACAAAAAAAGAAGCACAAAACGTCCCTTGCTTACATCGAACCGGACTTGGGATAGTTTCTCAGTCCGGATTTGCCACTACTTCCGCTCCCACTGCCCCCACCTCCGCCACCGTTGTCGTTGCTGGTGGGGGCGGGATTTTCCGCTGACTGCCGTTCGTGATACTCCTGGAAGCAGGGAACAATGCACAAGTTTGTCTGGCACTCGGGGCAGTGGTACTTCGTTTTGCGCCGCAATATTCGCCCATGGGCATCGATCGTGTTCCAACAGAAGTTGCACCCGAGTGCCGGGCCCTCCCGAACCACCGGACAGTGACTCGAACGTTGGCTGTCCAGGCCGGGAATTTCGGTCGATCTGCTGCTTGTCTGAAAGATGAACGTTCATAAGGTCATAACAATTATAATTATCCGACTTGACACTTACCAGAGGTGACGAGGCAGATCGCGAGAGCTCTTCGCCTTTGGCGCGAATCGAGCTCGAACTCGTGGAACTCAGGTCCGCTAGTGGCGCTGCTGCGGTGGATGAGCTGGTAGTACTGGAGGTGGTTGTGATCGTTGTGGTAAGGGCACTACTACCACCAGTACTGGTACCGGCACTTGCTAGATGGTGGGGATGATGTTGCATGGATTCGATGTCGGGAACGAGAACTACTGTTGGACTCGACGTGCGATCGGTTTGAAGGTGGATCTGTGGAATTGTGGACGCAGGTGTAGAAGGTTCTTCATCTGAGTCGGTCTTCAACGACGAGGACGGCGTCAGATAGTGGGTCGAACCGCTGCTGCTGGTAACCAGGGTCAGCGGAGTTGGGCTTTGTACGGTGGTCATCGGATGAGAGAGCTGACGTTGCAGTGAGTATGACGAGATGGTCTGGAACGCCTGGTGCGTTCCGTGCGAACTCGACATTTGGCTAGGCAACAGTGGGTGGGAGTGTTGTTTTACGAGATATGGCTGATGGGACGACACGGACAGATGATGGCCACCGTGGGGACGGTCACTGGCCGCTGTTCGCACCTCCGGAGACGCTACGGCCGGTGACGTCGGAATGATCGGTTCCGAGATTTGCCTTTCGAACCGGTGATGCGTCGGGACCGAGAGTAAGTTTTGTGAGTACATGGTCGTTCCGTCCGGGGTGTCCAGATCAGAACCGTACTGCTGACCGGACGAAGATGAGTCGCTTTCTTTCTTTATCCGCTGCTGCCGGATCAGCAGGCGACCACGTTTGGCAGCCGAGGCCATACCGACCGAGGAGGATGATTCCAGGCTGGCGGAAAGGCTTGATGTTCCGCTGGTACTCGACTGGCCGGGCGTCAAACCGAGTGCAATCTTAGCCATTTCGGCAACTGGAAAGCAAAATTAAAGACGATCGCATTAGTGCATGGTATGTTTTATTGTATTATCTAGGATTAGGGGCAAAACAAATCAAAGAAATTTTCTTCAGGACTTTCTTGGAATGTTCTTCCAAGTTCTCTTGGAACTCTTCTCGGAATTCTTTTGAAACTCTCATTAGAATTGCCTAAAAATTTCGATTAAACTATGCTTAGAATTCCCTTATAATACTATCCAGAAATTCCTAGAAATCCTCATAAAAAAATTCTTCTCCAGAGAATCGGAGCTATAAACTCTTCAGAGTTCGATTTTTTTGATTTTCTGCATAGTTTTCCTTCTATTTATCCTCAGAATTAGATATGTATTTGTTCAAGATTTTTTTTAATAAATATTTATCAGAAAACCATAAACGTCTCCTTAAAAATTGGTTTGAATTCTAATCAAAATCAAAATTTCCTTCAGAATATTAGAATGGCCAAAATTTAGTATCTATCGAAACCTCAGTTCTTGAAAATTTTCCAATTCCTATAATCTTTAAGATTTAAGTATTCTCTCATTTTCCACATGTCAATCTTCTTCGATTGCTTTCGGTAGGCGGAATTCGGGAAGTTTTCATTCTGCAACTTTGGAAGTATCAATAACAAACAGAGGGAGGGTAGTATTCAATGTTCATACAGAAATGTAAGATTCAATTACCGATTTGAACAAAAAATCTGTAATTTGGTCTTCGGAAGGTTTACGCCACGAAAAGTGGTCAGGGTTTTACCACTTATAACTCTGTCAATAGTTGATAAATTTTAATTCTAAACAAGCCAATCGATTGGAAATTTTTCTACGAATCTGCTTAAATGAACAATTTATCAATTTTCAATAGGTCACTATTGAAAATTACACAATGTCCAACTGTTGCAATCGTGATCAAAATTATAACCGATTGCCTCCAAACAGCGCTTTCCCTAACACAGATTACAAAATCGAATTCCATCCGGTCTCACC